TCCACTAAGCCATCTCACCCCGCCCCTTTTTTTAAAAAAATGAGTTTCACGATATCTCTCTGGCTGACTTGGTACTTGCTATGTTTCCAAGGTGGCCTCAAATTCATGACAATCCTGTCTCAGCCTCCTAAACACTTGGATTATTATAGCAGGCATAGGCTACCCCACCTGGTCACCTGCCTCTGCCTCCTGAGTGCTGGGATCAAAGGCATGTGCCATCATGTCCAGCACCTCTTTATAAAGCTATCCTACCTCAGGCATTTGGTCATGGCAATGAAAAATGAATACCCATATTCATTTATTATTGAATATATAATTTATTTAATAAATTTATTTTATAATATTATTAGTCTGGCATGGTGGTGCATGCCTTTAAACTTAGCACTGAGGAGGCAGAGGCAGGTGGATCTCTGTGAGTTCAAGGCCAGTCTGGTCTGTATAGTGAGTTCCAGGTCAGCTGGGGCTATGGGGAGACCCTGTCTCAAAAAGACCAAAAAAAATTTATTATTTTTGAATATTTCATGTCTATGAGTGTGTTGCCTGCATATGTATAAGTGCATCCATGTCATGCAATGCCTGAGGAAGACAAGAGAGGGTGTCGGATCCCCTGGAACTGGAGTTATGGATGGTTATTAGCTGCCATGTAGGTGCTGGGATTTGAACCTGGACCTTCTGCAAGAACGGTCAGTGCTCTTAACCACTGAGCCATCTCTCCAAGCCCCTAGGCTTGGTTTTTAAAATGCATTCCTTACTTTTTCCTGACTTAGTTGCATTGACTGAATTTTTTTTTTTTTAATAGGCCTGGCACGATGGCAAACACCTTTAATCCCAGCACTCCAGTCAGGGCTACATAGAGAGACTCTGTCTCAAAATACAAAGCAAAATAAAAAAAATAAAAGATTTATTTATTACCATTTGGTCTTTATTATTATTATTTTTTTTTTTTGAGACAGTTTCTCCCCATAGCCCCAGCTGGCCTGGAGCTTGCTATGTAGACAGGCTGGCCTCAATCTCAAAGAGATCCACCTGCCTCTGTCTCCTGAGTGCTGGGATTAAAGGCATGTGCCATAATGCCCAACTTATTTTTTATTTTTTGTCTTTTGAGATGGGTTATCCTTGTAACCCCAGCTGGCCTGGAGCTTGCTATGTAGACCAGGCTGGCCTTGAACTCACAGAGATCCACCTGCCTCTGCCTCTCTGCCTCTGTCTCCCAAGTACTGGAATCAAAGGCATTCACCACCACACCTGGCTGACACCCAACTTATTTTTAAAATTTTCATGTATGTGTATGTGCCTGCATGAGGTTAGTGGGTATCAGATCCCCTGTAACTAGGGTTACAGGTGATTGTAAGCTGCTTGATGTGAGTGCTGGGAACCCACTCAACTGGGGTCCTTTGCAAGAGCAGTAAATGCTCTTCACCACTGAGCCCCAACTGAATGGCTTTTTATTGTAGCAAAATACATATAACAAAATGGACCATTTCAACCCTTTTCATTGAGCTATTCACAGTGCTGAACCTGCACTGCGGAGCTGACGTGTATGGCCCGGTTTGGGTGGACTCACCCTGGTAACCTTTAAGGACTGCTGCACTTCTTAAGCATCTTTGGGTCTGAGCAAGTTGTGCGAGGGTTTTTTTTTTTTTTTTTGCCTTTTTGTTTGTGAGTCTTTTAACCTTTAATGACTGAATCGTCTCTCCAGCCATGAGTTGTTTCTTTCATTTGTTAGCTACCCCCTCCCTGACCCAGATGTCTCTCCAGCAGACCTGATGGTAGAGAAACTGGCTAGGCCACTAGGCACCACCAGGTCTGTTTCCTTGTCTGTCAATAGGGATGATATTGATGATCTGCAAGCACATAGGGTTGACTGAGGACTGAGCATCTTCCATAAAAGAAACTTAGTCAGTCTGGCACCCAAGGACACTGCTGGCTGCCATGACTTGTTCCTGCCCCGCCAGTTAGGCTGGTACAATTCTTTTTCCTTTTCCAGTTGTGAAATATACCTGTAGGTTAAAGAAGTATAGAAAATAGCATGATGGAAGGCCCATGACCGCCCAGTAGTGTGTAATCTTTGCCCAGATGCCCGCCCCCCGCCGGTTTCTTTTGTTCATTCTCTCTCTCTTTTTTTTTTTTTTTTTTTTGTCTTTTTGAGACAGGGTCTCCTTGTAGCCCCAGATGGCCTGTAGACCAGACTGCCCTTGATCTCACAGAGCTCTGCCTTCCTCTACCTGAAATAAACACCCATTTAGCATGAAATCCAACAACACAGTGTGTGCCCAGTGCTCCGTAAGTACTTCTATCTAGGATCAAAATACTTCTAGCACCCCAAAAGGAAGCTCTACCCATTAAGGAGTGTCCTTACCCCTCCCAGGCTATGTTCACCAACCTACTTTTTGGGTTTGCCTTTAGTACCTGGCTGAGTTATTCAGATGGTCCATAAAGCCAATAACAAGTATCCTTGAAAGGTACCAAAAAAAACCTAAAGACCCCAAGGAGAGGGGCAGAGAGTCACAGTAGGAGTTGTTGGAGGCTGGAATGACACAGACACAAGCTGAATAGGCAAGAACCCACAGCTCCTGGCTCAGAACTTCAGGAGAAGTTTCCGTGATGTATTTATTTATTTGGAGATTGGGTCCTGCTGTGTAGCTCAGGCTAGCTTTGAACTCACACGTCTCCTTTCTCAGCCTCCAGAGTGCTGGGAATTCAGGTACCATCATCACACTTGTTCTGTTGTTGAGAGTGGCCTGCTTGTAGCCATTTTCTGTGGTTAATAATAAGAAAGTAAGGAAGTCACTGTCAGGCAGAACAATGCCTTTGGACAGAAGTCTGCAGACTCTGAGATTCAGCACCATGACCAAGACATGTCTGTGACTGTAGTGGGTGACAGCCATTGTGTGGCAGGCGGCTACTGGCCAGCTGGCTTGGCTCAAAGATGTTACACAATTGAGGTGCCTGTTGGTTTGTTGAGGCCCCCTCTGGTCTGGCTGGTCTTAGGTGGGCAGCAGTCAGGGCACTGCCCAGTAATGTGACTTGAGACTTTCTTCCAGACCACCCTCCTCATCGTAAGCACTGTGGCATATAGACCCTGGGCTGGGGTGTTAAGCGTGTTCAGGTATCCTGGAGTATGTTGCAGTGGAGCTAGGTGTGCTACTGTGCTGGCATGAGTTGAGATGTTCTGGGGTATGCCAGTTTGGTGTGCTGAGGGGTGTTGGGGGTGGGCTGAGGTGTCTTGGGTTGTGCCAGGGTGTACTGAAGTGTGTTGGGGTTGGGCTGAGGTGAGCCGGGGTTTGTTGGGGTGGGCTGTGTACCAGCCAAGCCCTGTAATGGAGTGGTCAGTTCTGTCCTGGTACCTCAGTAGTCCAGTACTGGGGAGGTGTGTGGGTGCCAGGCCAGCACTGCCCTCCCCTTTGGCAGGGCCTTAGCCAGAGGCAGTGTAGCTATGAGGCCTTGGCTCATTGGGAGCTGGAGGCAAGCATTGAGGAACAGGGTGTGGACAATCTGTTGTGGGAGGGGACAAAGCCCCTTGGTGGAGTGGCAGCTTTATCTGTGAACCAGGAGTGATTCTAAGACCTTCCTTTGACTGGTCACCTTTGGGGCTTGATGAGTGGCATGTCTCCTGGTAAGCTCAATACAAACATGGCCCCAATGGGACCCTCACACATGGGGTGACACCCCACTACTGGCCTGCAAGTCGCTCCCTGCAGTCTGACCTGGGGGAGAATTTAAATGCCTTTTGGTTTTATATGAATTCATCGAACTGAGCAAGCATTACCCTAAAAAGGGCAGACTCTGGATCCCTGAAAGTCTAGTAATTACCCAAATAGAACCAAGTGGGTTGGCGATTGTAACTTAATCAGCTACAGGGCTTGGGCAACACAAGGCAACCATGGTGATTTGAGGTCACCATGGGTCCAGATCTGCCCAGGGAGGTTGGTGGGGGCTGGAAGGGCCATTCTGGGCAGAGCAGGTGTCTCCCAGGTGTCTTAGTCCCCATCTGGCCCCTGCCTGCTCTGGTCCAGGTCACATGCCCCCTGTCCTCAAGAAACTGGGAGGGGAATTAAAGGACTGTCCTGGCCCTCTGGCAGGTGAGGACATTCTTTACAGTACCATCTGACAGCTACTAGCTCGGCCTCCGAGCTTGAACAGGATTGAACTTACTGGACCCACCTGGTGCTAATATCCAGCCCCAGGAATGCCCTGCAACTCCCATCTCAATACCTCACCCTGCAGCTTTTATGGTTTTGTTTTTTTTGCGGGGGACGGGGTCTCTATACATCTAACTTGCCTTCCAAATACTGAGATTACAGTACCTGCCATTACAGATGTGCACCATCACATCATGACCAGCCATATAAACATTTCTTTCCTTTTTTTCCGGGCCTCCTGTACAGTGGGAAGCGCTCCACCCCAGCCTTGCCCCCGTCCTTCCGTCCCTGAACCACCGAGGACCGGTTTTGTGTGCTCTTGGTGCCCCAGGACAAGCTCATGGGGATCCAGTTGTGGGGGGTGTCTCTGGACCCCAGGGTCCTGAAGGCCCTGCAGCCCTAAGGGCCCCTCCGGGCGGGGAGCATCTTCCTGCCGCTCCCTTGGAGTCCCCGGCCTGCAGCAAACATGCGGTGGGGACCCGGGGCAGTTCCCCACCTCCGCGCCCAGAGCTCGGCCCTACACAGTGAGACCTCCCAAGGACACAACGAGAAAAGGGCACGAAGCCGACGTCTGGGCCCAGGAGCGGCCACCGCCCCAGGTCGCCGCCGCCCGCCTTCGCGACCCGGGACTCTGACGTCACGCCAAGCGCACGCCATCGCGCTCTAGGGGACGGCACTCTTGCAGGGGGCGGGCCAACGTCGCGCCTGCGGCCGCGGGAGACTGGGAGGGGCGACCCGGGGTCCCGCCCACCAGCGGTTCTGCGCCGGCGCCGCCCCGCCCACAAGAGTCGCCCCCGCCCACTGGCTGAGGAGCGACTACGCTCCGCGGTCCGGATTCCCGGCGGTGGCCAATGAGGACGGCCGGAGGGGGCGGGGCCTGGGCCGCGGTTTTGTTCCGCTGGGGTCTCGGGGGCTTAGTCCCGGTGTGAGGAGCGCGGCTGGCGCCCCGCCCTACCCGGGCCTCCGCCCGGCCGCAGGTAGGAGCCCGGCGCCCGCCCGCACACCGCCAAGGGCCTCCAGGAGCCTGGGCCGCCGGATCGCCGCGTCCCCGCGCGGTCAGCACCTGAGCCTCCGCACGTCCGGCCAGCGCCGCCCAAGGTCCCCACGCACCCCGGGGCCCAGCACCCTGCTCGTGTCCCGAGGCTTCAGCACCCTAAGCCCCGCACTACTCACCCCTGGGTCCCAGCACCCTACGGTTCCCCCCGACACGCCCCGGCATCCCAGCACCCTCTACGTGTCCCAGGGCCTCAGCACCCCTAGGTCCCCTGGGCCCCTGCACCCTCGTGTCCCGGGGCCTCAGCACCGTCGCATCCCCCCTGTTCCCCGGGTCCCAGCACCCTCCTCTTGTCTCAGGGCCTCAGCACCCTAAGGATTCCCCCACGTGTCCTGCGACCCCCATCCTTTTTAGTGTCCCACGACCTCAGCACTCTCCTAGTGTTCTGGGGCCCCAGCTCCCCAAAGTGGTCGTGCATCCTGGGACCCCATCCCCACCTGCCAGGCCCCTGGAGTGTAGTCCTTCCTGTATGCTGGGTGGTGGGGCCTGCCGGCTGGGCCTGCTGCATGCTGCCACTTGTTGAAACTGCATGTCACCTTTGGGACCTGTGGTCGCCATGCGCCATGGCTCTTACTGGGTGGGACTCAGTGATTGTCATTTTGTACCCAGAGAGAAGCAGAAAGTGTGGGGAGATATGATGGTCCCTTGAGTCCCAAGAGCAGATCCTCCCCAGCAACCTGTGGAAGGTGCCTCGGACTGTATTCCTCTTGCTAGATTGGAGGGTGTGTAAGTCTCTTCAAGGCTTCCTGTGAGGAGCATGGCATGTTGGATGTACAGTGTGTTTTACCTCTCCTGATTGGCTGCTGCCTTGCTTTGTAGGTTGGGCTTTATTTTACCCTAGTCTTAAGGACAGATCTGAAATGTATCACTTTATATTAAATTGACAGTTGAATTGTTTTATTTAAAAGTATTTCATCTTTGGCGGGGTGTGGTGGCGCTCGCCTTTTTAAGCCCAGCACTTAGGAGGCAGAGGCGGGTGGATCTCTGTGAGTTCGAGGCCAGCCTGGTCTACATAGTGAGTTCCAGGACAGCTGAGGCTATAGGGAGACCCTGTCTCAAAAAGACCAAAAAAAAAAGGTATTTCATCTTTGGGTATCTCTTAAGTATGAACCTAAACTTCTATAGAATTTTGTTTTTCCTGGTACTGGGGTTCTACCTCTGGGCCTGTCATACACTAGGCATCCTCTTTACTGCTGGAGCCACCCCCTACCCCTCCACCCCACCTCCTGAAATTTTTTTTTTTCTTTTTTTAGGACTCAGAGGACCCATGACTTTGTTTATGATAACCTCTCAGCCCTGAGAATTTTAAAGATTGAATAGTTTGACTTTAAGAGTACTTTAGTTTCATACTATTTAAGAAATTTGGTGCTTCCTGATGCTGCTGCTTCAAACACTATGGTCATCTGTGTCTCTGATAAAAGTGGGTGTCTGAAGGGAAGTTCAGCTTCTAGCTCTGAAAGGAGAAGGACTGGGAATGGTTTTGTTTTTGAAATTCTCAATATTGCTCCAAAATAAACTTGAATTGCTTAGAATCAATGGCTTCTTTACATTGGGCTGGTTAGTGCAGACTGTTTGTGGTCATTCACGTGGCTCTCCTTCCCCATTCCAGTGCCATTGTTCCCTTAGCCCCCTTTGTGTAGGCATAGCTGGCCTGTCTCTTCCCATGGCTTGATAAGTGATTCTACTCTCTGTCCCTGGAACCTGGATCTTAGTTCTGGAACTTTCCTTCTGGGGTGGCAGTGTATGCCTGAGATTGGAGCCATGGTAACAGTCCTGTCCCTTGGATGGTCTTAAACTTTTCTTTCACTTTGGTTGGATTTGACAGCCACAGGAAAGACAATTGTTGTTATGAAATTGTTTAAGACAGAAAAAATGCCAAATAATCCTTATTTATTTATTTATTTATTTATTTATTTATTTTTTGTCTTTTTGAGGTAGGGTCTCCCTTGTAGCCCCAGCTGGCCTAAACGCCTTAGCTGGCCTGGAACTCACTATGTAGACCAGGCTAGCCTTGAACTCACAGAGATCCACCTGCCTCTGCCTCCAAAGTGCTAGAATTAAAGGTGTGTGCCACCACACCTGACCAGAAATTTTTTAAAAAGTTTTTATACTTTAAATAAAATTTTTTTTTTTTTTTGGTCTTTTTTGAGACAGGGTCTCTCAGTAGCCCCAGCTGGCCTGAAACTCACTTTGTAGACCAGGCTGGCCTTGAACTCAAAGAGATCCACCTGCCTCCCGAGTGCTGGATTAAAGGCATGTGCTACCAAGCCCGGCACATTTTAAAATTTTTATTATTTTTAATTCATGTGTATGAGTGTAATGCCTGCATGTAGGTAGGTGCACTTGTGTTGTGCAGTGCCCTCAGAGGTCAGAAGAGGATGTTGGATCCCCTGGAACTGGAGTTATGGATGGTTGTTAGTCACCATGCGGGTGCTGGGAATTGAACCCAGGTTCTCTGCAAGAGCATCCATCATCTGAGCCATCTCTTCAGCCCCTCCCCCCCAGTTAAAAAAATTTTATTTTTATTTTATGTGTATGCGTGTATTGCCTGCATGTAGGTAAGTGCACCCATGTCATGCAGTGCCCACGGAGGACAGAAGAGGCTGTCGGATCCTCTGAAACTGGAGTTACAGACAGTTGTTAGCTGCCATGTGGGTGCTGGGATTCGAACCCGGGTCTTCTGCAAGAACAACCACTGTTCTTAACTGCTGAGCCATCTTTCCAGCCCCCCAATTTTTTTAATGACATGAAATCCATTACTTTTTTGCTTACGTAAAAATTAATAATAATGGGCTAGAGAGATGGCTCAGTGGTTAAGAGCACTGACTGCTCTTGCAGAGGACCTGGGTTCTATTTCCAGCACCCACATGGTGGCTACGAACTGTCCTTAACTCCAGTTCCAGGGAGCCCTCTTCTGACCTCTGGCATTGAACGACACAGGTGCACTCACATGCAGGCAATACACTCGTACATATAAAATTAAAATATTTTTAAAAATTAATAGTAATGAAAAAAATGAATCCCTTCAGTACTTTCTCTAGTGACGTTTTCTCAAAGGAAAATTGACTTTCACAATTTTTTTCGGATTTGTTAAAAGTTATAGTAATTTAAACATGTTCTGGGACCTCAGGTACTTTCATGTGTATTTAACTTGACTCCTTGAGGCCTCACTAGTCAGCACCTTCCACCCAGCTGAGCAGAGCTATTGCCCATTATCTTAGAAGAAGATTACATGTGCTCTTTATCCTCTTCCATGTTGTGATGTGCAGTCTGGACTCACAGTAGAGTGGTAACTGATAATTTCCATTTTAAAATTCATGGTTCTTTTATTGGGTTGCAAAGGTGACACTCCAAGAATGGATTCTGTGCACTTATAAAAGAATGCACAGGCCGGGCGTGGTGGCGCATGCCTTTAGTCCTATCACTCAGGAGGCAGAGGCAGGTGGATCTCTGTGAGTTCAAGGCCAGCCTGGTCCTTGTAGTGAGTTCCAGGACAGCTGGGGCTACAGGGAGACCCTGTCTCAAAAAGACCCCCCCAAAAACAATGCACATAGGGGCAGAAGAGATGGGTCAGCTGTTAAGAACACTGGTTGCTCTTGTAGAGGACCCAAGTTCTGTTCCCAACACCCACATGGCAGCTAATAACCTTCAAAAACTCCAGTTCCAAGGGATCTTGTGCCCTCTTCTGACCTCTGCATGCATCGCACCTGTGGGTATACCTACATACATGCAGGCAAAGCTCACATAAGTTTTTTTTTTTGGTCTTTTGAGACAGGGTCTCCCTGTAGGTTCAGCTGGCCTGGAACTTGATATGTAGACCAGGCTGTCCTTGAACTCACAAAGATCCTCTTTTCTCTGCCTCTGCTGGGATTAAAAGCATGCACCACCATTTGTTTTTTGTTTTTTTTGTTTGTTTGTTTTTGTCTTTTTGAGACAGGGTCTCTCTGTAGCCCCAGCTCTCCTGGAACTCACTATGTAGACCAGGCCTTGAACTCACAGAGATCCGCCTGCCTCTGCCTCCCGAGTGCTGGGATTAAAGGTATGTGCCATCACACCTGCAACATAACATTTTTTAACATGCAGGTAGCTAGATGTGGTGCGTACTCATAATTCTGCACTAGAGAAGTCAAGGAAGGAGGATTGAGAGGTTGGGGCTAGCCTGGTTTATATAGGGAGGCTCTTCCTCAAAACTAATACGTTTTTGAGACAAGGTTTCCCTATATAGCCTAGGCTGTCCTGAAAATTGTGACTCTCCTGCCCCTGCCTCCCCGGTGCTGGATTACAGGTGTGCACCACCATGTCTAGTAATACTTTATTTTTGAGAACAGCTTTAGGTTCACAGCACATTGAGCCCTTCTCATGCACAGCCTCTCTAGTTATCAACAGTCCAGCCCCATCAGAGTGGCATATTTGTTATAGATTCTGCATTTCACATATCACCCAAAGTCCATACTGGACTACTGTTCTCTCTTGATGCTGAACCTTTTGAGTTTTTAAAAATTTTACTTATATTTTTATGTATGTGAGTGTATTTCCTGCATGTATGTAAGTGCACCTGTGTCATGCAATGCCTGAGGAGGTCAGAAGAGGGCATCGGATTTCCTGGAACTAGAGTTCAGAGGGTTGTTAGCTGCCATGTGGATTCTGGGAAACAAACTTGGGTCCTCTACAAGAGTAGCCAGTGCTCTTAACCACTGAGTCATGTCTCTAGCCCCTGAACCTTTTGAATTTTGACAAATGTATAGTGACGTGAATCTAGCATTATAGTGCCATGCAGAGTAATTTCAGTGTCCTGAAATCAGCTCTGTGCTGAAATCCACCTGTTCATGCTCTTTCAACCACTGGCCACTGCCCATTTTTTCACTAACTTGACGTAAAACGTCATACACTAAGCAGTCTTCGCAGATCGGTTTCTTTAATTTCTTGTCTTTTTTTGGCTTGATACTTTTTGTTTTGTTTGTTTTGTTTGTCTGTGTCTGTGTGGATGTGTACATGTGAGATAAAGTGGTCACAGAGTACAGAAATGGTGTCAGATCCCCTGGTTGGAGTCCCTGGAGCTGGAATTACAGGCTGTTGTAAACTGCCCAACATAGGTTCTGGGAACTAAACTTGGGTCCTGTGCAAGAGCAGTATGCACTCTTAACCACTGAGCCATCTCTCCAGCCTGCTTCTGCATTTCTTTTTAGTGTGGAATAATACCCCATCTTCTGGATGGACCGCAGTTTATCCACTCATATACTGAAGGACATCTTGACTGTTGTGACTAAAGTTGTAAATGTCTGCATGTGGGTTTTTTGCATGAATGTTTTCAGTTATTTTGGTTAAATGCCAAAAAGCATGATTTTGGGGTTGTAAGAGTGTTAATTTTGTAGGATGCTGCTTACCACAGTCAACTCAGTGAGCAAGAGTTCTTGTCCCACAAGTCTCTCCGCATTCAGTGTCATCAGTGTTGTGGACAGTGGCCATTCTGGTTTTAAGTGTAGTGGTAGCTCAGTGTTGTTTTTTTTTATTTATTTTTTGAGATGGCTTCACTAAGTAACCTAGGCTGGCCTCAAACTCAAGCTCTTTCTGCCTCAGCCTCTGAGGTAGAACACAGGTGTGTACCCCTAGGGCCAGCTCTGCTGTTTTAATTTGCATTCCCTGATGACCCTGAATGTAGAACATTCTTCCCTATGCTTGTACGCCGTCTGTGTGCCTCTGGTGAGGTGGCCGCTGGAGTGTGGTCC